TTTGAAGTGTCAGATTGAGTTTTATTATTTGTGTAAATAGTAGAGTATGCGATAAATTAAATGAATTTTAGATTTATATAAATTTGTCGGATGTAACAAACAAAAATAAATATTTTCTAATAATAAAATATAAAAAAAATTGTAAGTGTAGTTTTCATCTACAAATAAATAATATTGTTACAAATATAATAATAAAAAGTTTTTTAATATATCAATTAATATATAGAGGATTAGTGGCATTTTAAAGAAAAATTCAAAATGATGACATTTTTGAAATGTGACATTTCTAAAAAATTATCTGCATTTAGTCTAAATATCATGCAAATTAAATTTTGCAAGATAAAATATATTATCAATATATTTATCTAATCTGAAGATAAATTTATCTGTATTTTTCTTGCTTCCATATTTGTTTAATAGTTATATATTGTATATGTGATATAAATTTAGTCTAATTATTTACACAATAATTTTATTAAGAAATTTTAATAGTTTTTCTTAAAAATTCTTTAAAACCCTCTTTGGATGACATCTAAGATTTTCACTATTTTCTATTAATATATAGGGGATTTCGTTTCAAATTTGAGACAAAAAAAATAAAGTATTTTTGGACGGATTAAATTAAATAATGTAACTGATAACCAAAGTTAGCAAATTATCATTTACTTTAATTAAAGAGAAATTTCAAAAAATACCACTTTTCAATTGCCACTTTACAAAAATGTCACACTTTTGAAATCTTTACAAAAATGCCACTTTTTCAAAATTATATTATTATTTATGTTTGGGTTAATTATGTTCTATTAGAGTTTAGTTTTGAGTATTTAGAGGGTTTTAGGTGTCAAAACATTTTTTAGGATTTAGAATTTTAAGATATAGGTTTTATAAATCTATAATTAGTGGCATTTTTGTAAATTGACACTTCTAAATAGTATTCTTGCAAATGCAAATATGCACACAAAAAGTAGAATTTTTGTAATTACCCATTAATTAAATTTCTTGTTTTTTCTTTCTTTTAACATTTAAAATTATCAGACAAACGTCCATTTTTATTTTATTTTTACGACCAAACAAGTGTACGTTTTATTTACGAATTTGATTAATAAAATATAGCCCACATAAATTGAGCAATATGGTCACTTTTCCTTGTATCTTATGTGTGAACTCCAGATTGAAATTAGAAAGTTTCTATCAAATGCAAATGGACAATGAATATATGACCTGATGAAACCACACACACACATGACATGACCAAATTCTCACATTCAAGTATTTATCACAATAGAACCGTGATCAACAAAAGTCACCAAAACATTCACCATTCATACATGGGACTGTCTAATTCAATTTAGATTATCAGTCTGATAAATAAAATAAAACTATAACAACACAATTAACACTTCAACGTCTTGCTCTTCTTGTGGATTTAAAGAAACGCTCTCTTATTGAGATTAACTCTTTTGTGGCTTCACTTATTGCTAACCGGTTCGTAGGAGATTCTTCACCACACCTAAGCCCCACCTCAAAAACCAGTGTCAAGCACTCGGCAACAGGGAAACCGACTCTAAGACCGCTTTGAAGAATCGATTTGTCTGCAATGTCCAATACTCTCTCTGGCAACGCCGATTTAGCGTAGGTGTGCAAGGTAAAGTTTCCTTCAAATAACTCATTGGTTGGTCTTTTCCCGGTGAACATTTCCAAAATGAGAACCCCAAAGCTATACACATCACCATGTATTGATGGTTGTCCTCCCATTCCATATTCTGCACCATAAAAAAACAAGATTGGAATAACAAAAGAATACACTTTTAACTTTCGTCATTCAACATTACATATTCGTTACCTGGTGCGGCATAACCGATGGTTCCTCTGACCTCGGCCGAGCTGAGTTGGTTGAGAAAGGACTCTTTGTCGAATTTGAGGAGAAGTCGAGCTAGACCAAAGTCGCTAACATGGGCGGTTAGATCATCGTCTAGAAGTACGTTGCTTGGCTTAAGATCACAATGAGCTATAGGTTCATGACAATGAACATGAAGATATTCGAAAACAGAACCCACGTCTATCGCTATGTTAATCCTTTCAAGAAGTGATAAGGTTCTTAAGGGCCTACTAATCTCTTCGACTTCTTCGGGGTGCAGCCACATATCCAAGCTCCCATTAGGCATGAAATCGTAGACGAGAGCTCTAAATTCGTTTCCTTGGAAATCAACACTCGAACAAGCCGTCAATAACTTCACAAGATTACGATGCCTTATGTCCTTCAAAGATTCACATTCTGCCATAAAACTCTTCATTGCTCCACGTCTATGCAAGTTTAGAACTTTCACTGCAACAACATTGTTCTCCGTCGGGAGAAATGCTTTAAACACAGTACCAAAACTGCCTGACCCAATCAGATTGCCCGAAGAGAATCCATTTGTCGCATTTCGAAGATCTCCATAGCTTATCCTCTCATGGAAGACCTCCAATGTGGAAGGAGATGGATTATTAGTTTGCTGGTTCTTCTTTCTTTTACTGAGCCAACAAAGAGAAACGGAAGCTATGACCAACAACAGAAGCAAAGCTAGGCCTACGCCTACTCCAATTGTGACTTTCTTAAAACGAGAGGGATGTTTTCTCCCGATTGGCGCTCCTTGTGCAAAGCATGGCTTTAGTTGCAATTCCTTGATGCCTCCACATAATTTTTGGTTCCCAAATACCAAAACTATAGTAGCATTCTTAAATATTCCTTCTGTTGGAACACTTCCCTCGAGACTGTTAATGGATAGATTGAGATACTGCAACTTGGAAAAGTTCGCAAGATATCTAGGTACACTTCCAGAAAGATTATTCCTCGACAAATCAACTCTTCTAACTCCCAACAAACCACTTATATCAGGAATTGCTCCATCAAAATAGTTTCCTTGCAAAAAAAGTCGTTCTATCGAGAGACATTTTCCCAAGGTATGCGGAAGTTGTCCCGATAATTTATTATACGCAGCTGATAGTGTAACAAGACTCTCTAATCTTCCAATGTCCTTTGGTAGAGAGCCAGTCAATAAATTATCTGACAAACCTAGGGTAACAAGGGATTTCATTTGCATAATTTCCCGAGGTATAGTTCCATTCAACTTATTAGACCCAATCCATAAATCTCGCAGGTTACTACACTTGCCGAGACTCGAAGGAACAGTTCCTTCGAAGCTATTGTTGGACAAGTATAGTAAGTCTAATCAAGTGAGGTTTCCTATAGAAGTTGGTATCTCTCCTGACAGTTTATTTGAATCGAGATTTAATCCCTCTAACTGTAAAAGCTTACCAATAGAGGTTGGGAGTGGACCTGTTAACTGATTCTCTTGTAACCCAAGTCTTTGTAGGCTCACGAGATTCCCAATATCATGAGTAATGGCTCCAGAGATGAAATTGG